CACTAGCAATGGGAGCTAATGGAGCTGTTGGCAGGTCAGTGATCTTTTACTTCCATTATCTGTATATCGCTATATTACACTGTAGGTAATTATGTTTATACTTTTCTCCTCCTATAGCACATATAACTATATGGGATGCTATGTCAACCAGCTGATTTCAGCATTTGAGACTGGAGATCTGGTCACTGCCCGAACAATTCAGGTACCCCAGTTTTTCTCTTATTTGTTGTCATAAACTTTGCTGTCTAGTTTCTGCCTTTTTTGTGTAACGTCTGGTCAAATCTCCACCTACAGTTTAAAATCCAGGAGCTTGTTGGTTATGCCATAAAACTGGGTGAGTGATAGCCATGATCTTCAGCTCTAAAATTAGCTTAGACTGAGGAATTTGCCTGTAGCTCATTAGCCTACCTCGGGAGGAAAACTGTTTTTCTGTGTCTCGACAGGTTTTGATATTGGAGTGAACAAGCAGCTGATGATGGAGGTGTCAGGCTTGCCTCTGGGCCCCCCTCGACTCCCGGTGATGCCGTGCCCTCCCAATCACTCTAAGCTCATCATACAGAAATACCACAGTATTTTTGACTAAAGGTTCATGGGTTTAGTTCATTCAGTAAACAGTCGTGCTTTTCTTTGTTCCTGTTGATCATGCTCACAGTACAGTGACGGTTAGGACCAGTTACCAGCTTTTATATTCCAATTACCGCTAATCTGCCACCAGATCTTCACATGTATTTCTGAAGAAAATAAAAAAACATATAAAAGGATAGATATTTCTAATTTGATCTTGACTTTTCCATTTTAACATTGCATTCTATTCTACTCTTTTCTATTCTCTTGTATTCCTTTTAATTTAGAGTACTGGGTCATTTAACTACCTGTGTGAATGATCAGGCTAACTTTTTGGAAGTTTAGAAATGGAAAAGTTTACTTTTCTTCATGTTTTGATCCATATGAGAAAAAAAGGTCAATATTTTTATTTTTTTGTTTGATCTTTAAACCTAAAATTTAAATTCCCCCCAATTGTCTTGAACTTTCATTGTTAAGGACAGCTTATGATCTGATGTTAAAAGGAGAAAAAAAGGCATTCTTACTAAAATAATGATCCAGTGGAGAATAATATGTTGTTTTTGTTGTTTACATTGAGTTTGTGTGTATTGTGCATTAAAAGGGAATTTAACTGAATGATCTGTATTTTAACACTATTCAAAGTCTTTACTAATAAATATTTTGCGATTCATGCCCTTGCCATTTTCTTTATTGCGCTGAATACACAAGCTCAAATTGTTTTCCATTTCTTTTAGGGTCATGAGTGTTTGGTTGTCCGTTGGAGTCTTGTCTGGATTGGGAGGTCAAGGGTCATGTTAGGTCGCTTCATTGCAAGGCTTTGCAGGAAGGTCGAGCTCTATCTATGCACACTGTTGGCATCTTTCTGTGGTTCTGTTGACAGATGCTGCACACAATAATATTTGCAGATCACCCTGGGGCCCTAATCTAAACATTAACAACAGTCAGGACAGACGCTCGCTGTATTAAACTATATTTTATCTTGATAAAATGGTTTTTGGTCTTAGTTTTTTACTAAGACCATATAACGTCACTATAAGGGATATCAGATTATTGTTTAACAACACTGAGATCTGTGTATGCATCCAAGGTCAAGCAAAGGAGAGCTTCTTGTTTGGAAGCCTTGTGCTCTTTGCTGTCTTCAGATCAGTTAAAGAGCTTCTGTTGGTCTTTCTACAGTCAATGACTTTCTGCAAGTTCTGTAGTAGCTAGAATAACCCAGGATCACAGTCAACTCTTCTCCATCTAGCGATTTGGTTCCTAACTAGGAAAACATCAATTTATTTTCATTATTTTCAGGTGTGCCTATGCTCAGACACTCATTTCTAATTATGAGCCTTGGATCATAACACAATGAATAAGATCCCAGATTCAGGCATCTTAAGCAGCTTCCTTTTAGGGTGGCTGGACTATAGGGGCAAGGAGAAGAGCAGCACCACTGCTCCTCCATGTTGAAATTAGTTGCTAAGGGGGATCAGAGTTCTTAGTGTGATGTCCTCAGTACAATCCTCAGAAGAAGTCCGCAGCCTACTGGACGGTTACACTAACGCTTGTGCATCAACACCAGAATACCTTATCAAACCAAACTGGAGACCAAATTAAAGGTTAATTATTACAGTATTTCTCAAAACTGTGATATTTCATTTTGAATGACTATACAAGAGTTTTTAAGTGATAATATGAAGTTAGATTTAGCTGTAGAGTTCATATCTAGCTGTAGATAGTACCAGACCCAACCACAAGAGGTCCCACAAGAGCTACAGATTTACTTAGGTGACATATAATGACTTGCACATTGTTTGTGTGAATCCCTCTCTAAAGAGGACTGCCTAGGGGAAAACAACACAAATCTAGTGCTTATCCTCTTTCAGGCATCTGACAGCAACACTCCTCAGTGAAAGCTGTGTCTGCTCATATATGTTGGAAATGTTATCTTTAATATCGTTTGATGTGATAAATTACAGAGCAGGATTGTCTGAAATGTAATGATATGTCTAGCATAAAGTAAAGGCTGCAGTATTATTTCCTGGACTCTGGCCTGCCAAGCCTTCAGGCTGCACAGATTGGACCAGATGAGAGAAAGACTTTAAACTCTGAAATGAACGTGGCAAGGCAAGGTTATTTAAACAGCACATTTCCATAGCAAGAAAATTCAAGGTTCTATACTTGGAAAAAAACATAATAGGAAAAGTGAATTGCAGTGTTATAATGGTAATAGAAATAATAAATATATCTATTTAAATGAAATAACAATGAATTATAAAAACAACTGGAAAGAATAAAAAATGAAAGAAAAAAAAGGAAGTGGGACTCTAAGCAAATTGGGGTTTTAATCGATTTAATAATAATAATAATAAAAAAAAAAGGATTTCAACCCCTTTACCTGTTTCTGGCAGTTTGTTCCAGATTCATAAGAGGTCTGGTTGGTTGATACACTAACAGGGAGTCTGTAATATATTCTGGTTTGCTTTAGTAAGAACATGAACCACAGATTTCTGGATCAACTGCAGCTGGCTGATTGACTTATTAGGCCGAACCATGAAGACAACATGCCAGTAATCAGTTCTACTGAAGATGAACACATTAATTATTTTTTTCAAAATTCTGCTGAGATTCCCTTAATTTCAGAGATGTTATTTAGGTGATAGTTGGCCAACTTTGTTACTGTCTTGATGTTGCTCTGAAGGTTCAGGTCTGAGTCAATTAATACACCAAGACAAAAGCCTGATTGGTGGTTTCTAGTTATAGGTTAACTAAAGCTGGTTGCTAACTTTCAAATGCTTTCAACAATCATATGTCATTTGAACCAAAAATTAAAATGTCAGTTTTGTTTTGCTTCAGCTGAAAGCATTTTGGCACATCCGTTAATTGATTTCTTCTATGCATTAACTCAGCATTGAAGTGGGTACATAGTCCCCTGGTGACATCATAACATACAGCTCTCTGTCTTCTGCATAGTTGTGATAACATATGCTGTTATTTATTATAATCTGAGGAGCATGTAGATATCGAATAGGAAAAAAATAAACTAATTTAAAATAGGCCAACCTAGTGTTCCTGTTTTATTCAGAAGCAAGCAGTGTGCAGGAAATGTATTTCCAAACTCAGATACAAGCAGCAGAAATGTTATATTTCCATAAGCATAGGATCATATTAGCATAGCCATCATAATTTAACTATCGGAGGTTTAAAGAGCAATGGTCCTAGGATATGAAGTGTAAATATGAAAGAAGACATTAAATGAAGACAAAGGTCACTGTTTTAAAAACTGGTTCTCTTCCTCTGTTGGTTGAAGTGGAAAGATACGTAGGGGACCCTGAACATTACTGTTTATATGTGATTTGTGATCAATGTGGTTCGGGATTAATTTTAACTCTTTATTTTACTATCCTTTATGGTTGTGATTTGTGATTCAATTTCTTCAACAATAAAATCCTGATGTGTTGAGATGGCTATTTAATGAAGAGAATTTTAGCCTTATTTAACAAAAATGTCTGCGGAAAGACAATTATGAATCCTCTATATGTCAAATATGTAATTTATTGTCTCTGTAAATGTTTGTTTGTGTTTGTATTATTTTCTTTAATTTAGTATTTTTGTTGAAAGCCTGTTTAGGCTAGTCACTATGCAACATTAATAATTATCCAGTCATCCAACCATTTGTCCAGCTGTCCTGTCTAATACAACTCTCAGATTTGCTACAGAAACCATAAACATTAATAAAGATCAAGACATTAATTAATTAACATTAAGTAACATATTAATCGTTGACTATGGGAGAAAAGGCCAAAGTTCACCACGGCCAGATGTGCACGTTGGAGCTTTGTGCATTTGCTGACAACAGATCACTAAATTATAATGTCAGTCTATATTATAGAATATTTTTTTTCTATTTTATCATATTTTCACCTCTGAGACAAATTAAACCAGAAGCCTTCCCTCTCAAACATGGTGCAGCTGAAAGCAACAGTATAGCAGGAAAACTATTTAAGTCTATGTGGTAAGCTTCATACGGAAGAGGATTAGGGCCACTGAAAAAAAAAAAGTTAACTGACTTTTTAAATATTATTTCAGTACAATATGAGAAAAAGTTAGAATTCTGAGATTAAAGTCAGAATTCTGATTAAAATAAGTCAGAATTCTGAGAAAGTTCAGAATTCTGAGAAAATAGTTAGACTTCTGAGATTAAAGTCAGAATTCTGAGAAAATTGTCAGAATTCTGAGATTCAAGTCTTTTTCCCATATTAAACTGAAATAAATTTTAAAAATTAACTTTTTTTTCAGTGGCCCTAATCCTCTTCCGTAGCTACGTTTATGCATAAATTTCTTTCTTTTTTATGTTTTTTTTTTTTCCTTTTCCTTTCTAAAATGCATGTTTGCACTACTTTCTAAGAGAGCGCGGAACATTGTAAGCGAATTCAGTTCCGGACCGGACATATTTGACTGTGACAACCAAATCTGCGGCGTTTCCGGCCAGCTCAGCGCGTCTCTCCTGTGTGTTGTCACTTTTTACAGCCCGTCCGCCAGACAATCGCCGCTGCCAACCAGCTGGGACTTTCTCCAGAGCCTTGACTCACAGCCGGACACTTGGCAAAGATGTTGCTACTGACGATGATCGCTCGGCTGGCCGACGGTCTGCCGCTGGCCGCTTCAATGCAGGAGGACGAGCAGGTTCACTTCTCAACCTTTCTACTCAGTCTGATAGAGGTTTTACTTAGGAGATATTGCAGTGACAATGTCAGGTGTATCACAATAGTAGGGGCCCAGCCTCATCCAGATGGGATGATTAAAACCTATCTTTCAGTAGCTGTTGTGTTTAACTGGATTTGATCAGCTGAGTTAGAGCTCCCATCAATAGGCCCACCTACCTAAAACAGCTTACAGTAATGTTTTTTATTTAACATTAGAAAAGTACTTATGAGTGATATATTCACACCCCATCATTATGTTTTTTTTTTGTTTTTTTTTATGGTGGTGTTTTTGTTTACAACTTCACCAAAAAAAAGACTAATTTAAGGCTTGATGAGATTTTGCATAGATTCTGCTTATAGCAATTCAATTCACAACACCTGTCATCTCAAGGCCCTTTACAGTTCACCAGATCATACAATCTATTTGATTCAAAGTTTTCTATCTAAGGAAAACTAGTTGATTGCATCGACTCATTGACTCAAATGCAATCGCTCCACTAAGCATGGTTGTAGCGACAGTGGAGAGTAAAATCTCCCTTTTAACAGGAAGAAACCTCCAGCAGAACCAGGCTCCGTGTGAGCGGCCGACTGGGGTTCAAGGAGACAGAAGCAGAGATACAAAAAGCAACTGTAAATGGCGGCCCCGTCCAGGAAACACACAGCCAGGCAGACGAGCTCCGAGCCAGAGCGGTAGCAGATAGCAAAAAACTTTTATCATAACCCAATTAATTTTGTACGGGCATTTTTTTAATACAGTCATAAATCCTGTGCTTCACAAGTCTGAATTTGTGGGAACAATAATGTATAAGACACTATTGAGTTATCAGAAACAGGAACTTGAATACAAACGGGTATTGTTGCCTTAAAATGACATGTTTTGTTTTTTTAACCGAAAGCAGTTTTTTTCCCCCCTACCTGACACAAAATTATCATCTTCATTTCATTTTAGTCACTAAAGTCCAGATATGAATCTATTAGAATTATGACGTGCTATAACTACAGTGCATTGCAAAGTCGGCGTCATCCACACTTTTTCATCTTTTGGGATCGTATGTGAAATGCCACCTCAAACTGGTGCATAATTATAAAAGTAGGCATAAAACATGTGATTTTAAAGATAATAATATGATAATTCTGCCATGGATTTACATCCAGACCTCTTTAATCTGGTACCAATGAATTTTTGAATGGAAGCCATGAGGAGTCCTGTTCACCTAAGGACATAGGTTACACAGCTGATGATGTGGAAATCAGATTCGACCCAATCCACAGAGTGAAACATGATGATGCCTGCATCATCCTTTTCTTCATCAGACATTTGAACCGTCGGATTGACCTAAATACATCCTTCAAGATCAATCCAGACATAATTTGGCGACGATCGGGTGTATTTTCCCGTTAATAGAAACACTGATATGGGTAAAGAAACTGAATGCGGCACAGGAGAAGCTGTGCTTAGTTTGCTTAGTTCTCAAATAGCTGATTATTTAGAAGAAGAAACAAACTTTCATCCTCTCTAAGGGATAACACGACCAAGTTTCTTATTTGGTGCAGGTTGTTGTATCCAGCAGGCCAGATTGGAGATGTTTTTCCAGAAGAGGCCTTTTTTGATCAATGTTCACCCCTTACCTAAATTTAGTCCATTTGCTAACACATATGTGTAAGTCTTATATAAGGGTGAAACATTCTTTAACACATAGTTAAAACATAAAAAAAATGTTTTTAATGCAATAAAGAAAATATATTTTTTTTCTGATAAAAGTTATATACATACTTTTAGCTATACATACTGCATCCATAATGATGCTTTACCCCTATTAGCCCCCAGAGGTCAGTATTGGCATGTTTATGTTTTATTGGCATCTCTTAAAAACAGTTTCAATGTATCTTAGAGTTAAGGATCAGATCGCAATTAGAAAATGAAGGCTCTTATCAAATCTGTGAATATTTTATGCATCAGAGCAGTGACATCTGCACTAAATGAGGTCCACTGTCACACAATGAGCTGTTTTGCTTTGTGCATAAGCTGATAGAAGTCTAACGTGTTTTTCTTTCACTCTCTTGTGTGCTCTCAAAAGGGAAGCGAGAAGGTTTGTTGTGTTTCTGCTCTGTGCTACATCATCCGTCTTCCTGTGATGCTGCAGTCTTAAAATTGTCATTTGCTGCAATCAGACTCGGCCTATAAGGGCCCGTCGTCACTCTTAGAGATAGCATAACCTTCATTTAAATGCACTCTCTCCAGACAAAGTATAGAACTTAATGAGTGTATGCATTAGAATCTGTGAGCTTTAATGAGTGTATGTTTTTCTCCCACTTTGTTGGATAAGTTGCCATTATCATTTGCTTCTGCCGTCAGCCTGTAAAGGGGCTCATAGAACAAAGCTTTTGTTATCCTCAGTGTTTTATGGTTAGAACGTTTACCAAACTGCGTGATCTAGGTTTTGATTTTTGTTGTTAATCATTCTTTAGGTGGGTCGAGATCTTCAGCAGTATCAAACTCAGGCCAAGCAGCTTTTCAGGAAACTCAACGAGCAGAGTCCCACGCGCTGCACTTTAGAGGCTGGATCTATGGCGTTTCAGTGAGTGTTTGATCAAACGGAAAAAAATGTCAACTGCCAGAGTAAATTGTCTTATTAGAGACTTAACTAGCTAAACTCGATTGCACACTAATATTATGTTTATTTCCCTACTCATTAAATACATTAAAACTCCTTTTTTGGACTTTAAGCCAATTTAACAATTTTAGCTACAAGATTGTTTTTTAATCCTTAAAATCTGTTGGATAAAATAACAAAAAAAGACATTGTTTATAGGGTTTTTTTTTCTAGTCCACTTCCATTGCTCTGTACTTTTGACACAACCTGTGGTTCTCCTTGCAGCTATTATATAGATCAGGGAGTTTGCTACCTTGTGCTGTCTGAAGCAGGCTTTCCCAAGAAGCTAGCTTTTGCTTACCTGGAAGACCTGCAGGCAGAATTTCATGAGCAGCATGGAAAGAAGGTCCCCACAGTATCCCGTCCTTACTCCTTTATTGAGTTTGGTAAGAAACAAAATCCACCTGTGGAGCCTGAAAGTATTCCTGATGGTTTATAAAACAAACTGTTTTTGGCATTGATAACATGTACTGGTCCTTTTCTATACGTACAGCTCTGCTAGGAAGCTTACAAACACTCATCATGGACATAAATGTCTTCTGAATTTTAGGTTTTAAATGTTTATTGGGAATGTTATTTTACTAGGGTAGAATATGGGTACAAATCAACATAATACATTTGAATTTATTGGGAAACCTTCTTGTTCACAAAGGTTTTAAACACAAAGTCTGAAATGTATACATGCACCTAATAATTGGTTAGAGTTGCATTACACTATAATGGGATGAATAGAATCGTTGAGACGTTTCTTAGAGGCCCTTCTCCTCTTGTTGACAGCTCGAAGGTGGCTACAGCTGGGTGATTTAACCAGAAAAAATCCCAAAATGCATCAAAATCTATTTTTAAATATTTAAAAGTGGGCTAACATTCGGGTTTAGGGGCTTTTATTAGAGCAGTGCTACATGTTACACCGATCGGACCTGACAGAACAGATGTCACCAGCATCCTCATGCCTCTGCTTTGCCTTTAAGGTTGCACTATATTTTTCACCTGGAGAGTCGCACACTTTTATTAAGGCCAAACAAACTGCCTTCACTCTTATGAAAGAAAAGGCCCACATTAGTACATAATGCTCCTCTATTATCCTATAAATAACTTGTTGTGGTCGTTTATCTGACTGATATTAATTTGAGATAAAATAGAAACCAAAGTAAAGTTCCTTCTTTGTTACCACAAAATTACTCAATAATCCTAATATAATAATAATAATAATACATTTGATTTAGCAGCACCGTTCTAGACACCCAGGGTCACTTTACAAACAACAAAAATACAAATACAGGGCAAAGAAAAGTATAGACAAAGAGTTATGGATACGGACAAGAACAGTGTATTTACAAATAAGCATTCTGGAACAGGTGGGTTTGAGTGTGGTTCATTCTGCTGGGGTCAGGTTGGCTGGAGTGAGTCCAGAGTTCGGGAGAAGAGCAGCAGAAAGCCCTGATCCCCATGGCGAGAAGCTGAGCTGGGGTTACAGTGAGGAGGATGGAGGAGGAGGATCTGAAGGAGCATGAGGAGGTCTGAAAAATATGGAGGAGCAAGGTTATGGAAGGTTTAAAAGTATTTAGGATTTTAAATTGTATTCTGAATTAATAGGTTTAGTGGTTAGAGCAGTGCACTTGTGCTCTGAGAAGGTTGCAAGTACTCTGTTCGATCCTCAAAGCCTGAATTCTGGCTCCCTGAGCAAGACCCTCAACCCCACACTGCTCCCCGGGCGCCGCACAATGGCAGCCCACCTACTTGTGGCAGTGTAATGACAATAAAAGATGGAATAAATAAAAAAGAATTGAACTGGGAGCCAATGGAGCTGCTGAAAGATGGGGATAATATGATGAAAAGAGGGGTTCTGACGAGTGCTCTTCTGTAGAAGTTGGTGTTTATGGAGGGATTAATGAGGGAGGCCGGACAGAAGAGAGTTGCAATAATGAAGACGGGAGGTGAGCAGGCTGTGGATAAGGATAGAGGCAGCGTGATTGGTCAGGGAGGGAGAAAGGTGGTTAATGTTGGGTAGGTGGAAGTATGCAGACCGGCTAATGTTATTCATGTGTGACTGAAAGGATAAGGAGGAGTGGAGGATGACACCCAGGAGGGGAAGACCAAAGACTTGTCAGTAGGTAGAGGGAAGCTATTGATCTTGAATAGGGTGAATTTGGTGGCAACAAGGAGGAGTTTGGTTTTATCACTGTTTAGTTTTAAGGAGGTTTAAGGTGAGCCAGTAATTTCAACAGTAACGGATAAGGGGGGGGAGTGAGAACATGGATTTGCTGGATAAATAGATCCGGGTGTCATCTGCGTAACAATGAAAATGAATGTTGATTAAAAGCCTCAGTTCAATAATCTCCTGTCTCTGATGAGTGCATGTAAACTTTTGATAGCTATTACCTTCAAAAGGGCTTTGAGACAACTGTTTGCATCTTAATAAGACTATGAAACAAACTTTGGGGCAGAAGTGCATTATAAACTGTAGATACTGTTTGTTCATCATCAAGTTTGTGACTTCATAACATGCAGATTTGGGAAATCTCCACGTCATGCTTACTGCAGTATCTGCTTTCTCAGACACATACATTCAAAAAACCAAGAAGTTGTACATTGACAGCCGAGCAAGAAGGAATCTGGGCAGCATCAACACTGAGCTCCAGGATGTGCAGAGGATCATGGTGGCCAACATAGAGGAGGTCCTGCAGAGGGGCGAGGCTCTCTCTGGTCCGTCTTCTTTTCTTACTGTCATTTAAAAATCAAAAAGTGCTCCTGGTTTGTATTTATATTCTGGCAATCCCTCACCTCCTTCTCCTTATTGTTCCACAGCTTTGGACTCCAAGGCCAGCAACTTGTCAAGCCTGTCGAAAAAGTACAGGAGCGACGCCAAGTACCTGAACACCCGCTCCACTTACGCCAAGCTGGCAGCGGGTGGCGTCTTTTTCATAATGCTCATCGTCTATGTGCGCTTCTGGTGGCTCTGAGTGACGACAGAAGAGGAGGTGGAGGAGAAGAGGAAGGAGGTAGAGAAGTAAAAAAAAAAAACGAACCGCACACAGTCTGGGGACGTAGAGAGAAAGCTTTCCCTTTTGATGAAAAAACAGGATCCCTGAAGACCTTCCAGACATGCTTTACCAACCGCTCTGTATGTCCTCACCTCGTGCGTGCGTGTCTGATCCGAGACACAAGATTTCAGAATGCTTTGTTTTATTATTAACAGTTATACAGTAAAACTCTCGAAGTTGCCCTGAATTTCAGAGGAAATGAGTAAACGTGCGAGTGTGTGTGTGCATGTATGCGAGTATGCAACTGTTTATGAAGGTGATTTGTGGGTAAGTCAAGAGGAAAAAAATAAAGCTTCCTGTGCTGTGAGCTTCTAAAGCTGTTCTGTCCTATAAAAAGGAGTGTGCGGTTTAATTTTCTGTGTCTAATTATACAGATGACAGATGCTAATCAGCTATCTTGAAGCCTGATCACGTTCCTCTGGCCATGCTGGTCATTTCACATATCTATGGGGGGGGTCGTATTCTAAACTCGCAACTATTTAGAAAACAGTTGATTAAAAGTAGGTTAACTTCTGTTTTTTTTTTTTTTAAAGCTTATTAGGGGATGCAGGTGAAAATAAAAGTAACTAAAGAGAATACGCAGCTAAGTTTGACTCAGACCTATTATATTCCTGCAGTTTTCATGCAAATTTATATTTTACACATCTCTAGATATGCACCAATCTTATGAGAAGGGATTGGAACTGAACAATTTTCCCATGATGTGCAAACAGTGAAGGTATTGTAAGATCTGTTGCTTTAAATGCATCAAAAATAAAAACATGCACTACTCATAAACCCATTATATATCCTTTAGATTAAAACGTCCATCCTTATAAAAAAAAAAAAAAAAGCTGCGCTCATTGCTTAAGTTAAGATTAGGATTTTTACTTTTTTTGTTTTTACAAAATGAGTAGATCTCACCTTAAAGAATCGGGAAAGCCTGACCGATGCATCTCTGGGCAGCAGTCTTGATTTTTCCTTTTTGTATTAGTAAACTAATCCACAGAATTGCTGTATTTCTGTTTCTATTTCATCGTTTCCCACTTCTGTTTTAGCCTGACATCTCTTCTTACATTAGGGTCGCTCACCTATTGAAAAGACAGCGTTTTGGAATTTCCTCAATTCTGTGTTTACCAAAACTGAACCGACCACCTCAGTCTCTGTGTTGTAAGTTATTAAATTACAGAAAGCTACGCACTATGTAATCTGTTTCTTACCTTTTTTGCATTTCCTTTTATAGCTAAGAATACGTTTAAACTGAACAGAAACGAAAAGTGATGTTTGAGTTGTTGGAACCTTTGAACCGTAAGAAGAATAAATGCCTAAATAATAAACGACCTAACTTTGCAAAGGCTGTGGCATTGAAGTCATTTCTCTTCGGTGAATTAACATCCAAGATCGGTTTGTAGGTTTTTCAAACTGGTTAAAGTGTCTGTGTTGGGCTGTAAAGAGGTGAGTATGTAAAGCGCATTGTAGCTTTGCTATCAAATAATAAGGTAGTAGAGTGGGAAATGATTGAATATCACTCCCGTGGAAACTGAAGTGGGTCACAGTTGATGCATTAACCTCTGAAATGGAGCCTTCGCTAAGGGAATAACATCAAACCCATCATTATTATGGTACTGATGCAAGTCGGAGAAGAAGCAGTGTTGCAATGAGGATGCTAATTACTGTGCATTGTTTATTCTTTTCCTTTTTATTCATCTACATCAAACGGCCAAAGATTTTAGCAAAACCAATCACAATTGAATGAGTACGGAAATAATTTTAATGCTCTAAAATACAGAAAACCTGCAAACGCAACAAACAGCAGAGTTTTTTGACCTGTATTGTTTAGGATATTAAGTGAGCCACAGATGCATGACCAGAGGTGGATGGTAACTAGTTTCTTTTATACTCACATTTACTTGACTTACTTTTAGAAAAAAATGTACTTTCAAGAGTGGTTTTAAAGCATTCTACTTTTTTCTTTTACTTGAGAAAAATTTCTTTCTAATCCATCCATTGTGAGTAACAAGCTTGTTTTAAACAAATATACAACGTTGATGTCATGGTCTTGGTTCTGTTCTTTACTTTGCTCCTTGTTTTCTAGTTTTATTGGTTTAATTCCAGTTTTGTTGTAATTTCTAGATTTATGTTAGTTCTCATGTTTTCTGTTGCCCTCTTTTGTGTGTGTGAGTGTGTGGGTGTGTGTTCCTTTCCCCTTGGCTCCCTCGTTGTCTCCTCTCACACCTGCTCCTTATCAGCTCGTTAGCCCTCCCTTTGTCTCTGTCAGCTATATACAGGTGCTGGTCATAAAATTAGAATATCATGAAAAAGTAGATTGATTTCAGTAATTCCATTTAAAAAGTGAAACTTGTATATTATATTCATACATTACATACAAACTCATATATTTCAGATGTTTATTTTGTTTAATTTTGATGATTACAAATGACAACAAATGAAAATCTCAAATTCATCATATCAGAAAATTAGAACATTGTGAAAAGGTTCAAAATTGATGGCCCCTGGTGCCACACTCTAATCAGCTAATTAACTCAAACCACCTGCAAAAGCCTTTAAATGGTCTTTCAGTCTAGTTCTATAGGCTACACAATCATGGGGAAGACTGCTGACTTGACAGTTGTCCAAAAGACGACCATCGACACCTTGCACAAGGAGGGCAAGACACAAAAGGTCATCGCTAAAGAGGCTGGCTGTTCACAGAGCTCAGTGTCCAAGCACATTAATAGAGAGGCGAAGGGAAGGAAAAGATGTGGTCGAAAAAAGTGTACAAGCAAGAGAGATAACCGCACCCTGGAGAGGATTGTGAAACAAAACCCATTCAAAAATGTGGGGGAGATTCACAAAGAGTGGACTGCAGCTGGAGTGAGTGCTTCAAGAACCACCACACACAGACGTATGAAAGACATGGGTTTCTGCTGTCGCATTCCTTGTGTCAAGCCACTCTTGAACCACAGACAGCGTCAGAAGCGTCTAAAGAGAAACAGGACTGGACTGCTGGTGAGTGGTCCAAAGTCATGTTCTCTGATGAAAGTAAATTTTGCATTTCCTTTGGAAATCAAGGTCCCAGAGTCTGGAGGAAAAGAAGAGAGGCACTTCATCCACGTTGCTTGAAGTCCAGTGTAAAGTTTCCACAGTCAGTGATGGTTTGGGGTGCCATGTCATCTGCTGGTGTTGGTCCATTGTGTTTTCTGAGGTCCAGGGTCAACGCAGCCACATACCAGGAAGTTTTAGAGCACTTCATGCTTCCTGCAGCTGACCAACTTTTTGGAGATGCAGATTTCATTTTCCAACAGGACTTGGCACCTGCACACAGTGCCAAAGCTACCAGTACCTGGTTGAAGGACCATGGTATCACTGTTCTTAATTGGCCAGCAAACTCTCCTGACCTTAACCCCATAGAAAATCTATGGGGTATTGTGAAGAAGAACATGCAATACACCAGACCCAACAATTCAGAAGAGCTAAAAGCCACTATTAGAGCAACCTGGGCTATCATAACACCTGAGCAGTGCCACAGACTGATCGACTCCATGCCACGCCGCATTGCTGCAGTAATACAGGCCAAAGGAGGCCCAACTAAATACTGAGTGCTGTACATGCTCATACTTTTCATGTTCATACTTTTCAGTTGGCCAACATTTCTATAAATCCTTTGTTTTTATTGGTCTTCAGTAATATTCTAATTTTCTGATATGATGAATTTGAGATTTTCATTTGTTGTCATTTGTAATCATCAAAATTAAACAAAATAAACATCTGAAATATATGAGTTTGTATGTAATGTATGCATATAATATACAAGTTTCACTTTTTAAATGGAATTACTGAAATCAATCTACTTTTTCATGATATTCTAATTTTATGACCAGCACCTGTATGCTCTCCCTCTGCTCTCACTCTTTGTTGGTTCCTTGTCTTTGCTGTCTTCCCATGCTGTGGTCTACGTTCCTCGTCTCTCCCTGGCTCCTCGTGTTTGGTTTTCCCTTGATGTCTCCATGGTTCTGGTCTGTGTTTCATCATTAACGTAGTTGGATTTTTGGTTTCCTGCCTTTGTTAAACAGTTTCCTTAAATTAAATCCACAAGAAATCTCCTCAACCTCTCTGCCTCTGCATTTGGGTCCTTCAAACCACAACCAAACCCTGACAGTTGAGAGATGCACTATCATCTTTTCTGTAGTCAAGGCTCCTTGGTTAAATGTTATTTTATGCTGAGTCTGCCATTTCTTTTGGAGGTTGAGTGGTAATGCAGTAAACAGTATATTGTAATTTAACCTATTCTTACACACTATATTGATTTTGCAAATGAAATAGCAAAAAATATAAAATCTGTTGCTATGATCATGGATTGTCAGTAGATCACTCAGTACTAGAGAAGCCTTTTTACTAAGTATTTTTTTTTTACTCTAATTTGAGCTATTTCTTTAAGGCTGCTTTTTACTTTTACTTGAGTAAAAATAGGATGAAGCAGTGCTACTTTTACTTTACAATGTTTGGGTACTCTGCCCCTGACTAACACATGGAAACTGTGATCCTATGTTAATACGACTGAAGCTTAAAGCTGACTTTAATTTCTAAATAAAAGTGAATTGTAGAGGGAAACACTTTAAATTGGTTCAATCGTTGAATCAGTTATGGTCTCTTCTGTTTAAGTATATCCGCATAAAAAAATTTATTTAATATTACCCTTACATAAAAACTGATCCTAATAAGTAAAACTTTCATTAAATAAGTTTATTTCCCCTTAATTCCATAAGGTAGTTCAGATGATCTGCCAAAGAAATTTGTTCTTTTGCACTTATTGCATTGGCAAATTATCTTACCTACCTGCTTATATCATGGGAAATTCACTTAATTGGCAGGATGTGAATTTTAAACCACCAGTTCTTAACCTGTCTTCTTTAGTGTGTATGTGTTTTTAAGACCATGGTGGGGTTTTTTTTAACTACTACTACATTTAACATTTTAATGATGTCACAGTGGAGAAATTTACCTCTGCATTTGACCCATCCTCTTGGAGAGCAGTGGACTGCCGTTGTGCGATGCCAGGGGACCCAGAGTGGCAGTCTCTAGGGATTAAAAAACAAGGTAATTGCAACCTTTTCAGAGCACAAGCGCACTGCTCTAACCACTAGGCCAACACTCCCCCATAATGCAACTTTTGCTGCAGTTACAAATGCAAAGATAGAGTATTTCTCTATCGGCTTTGCTCATGTGAAGGTTGAAACCAATCTCAGTCAGATTGGTTAGAGCGCATCTGTGAACGACGCCTTGGGTCTGGACTTTGAGCCACTGTAAGACTTTGATCTAAATTAATGCCTTCTAGAACTAGTTTTGTGTTTAGGGCT